TTTTTCCCTCTCTCTAGGCGACCAACCCACCCTCCCTCACTCTCTCCCTTTCAGCCCAGTAACCACCCTTTGGCCTGGCCCTGTCTCTCTCTCTCGTCCCCGGCCAGGCAGCATGCGCGAGATGCGCGAGAGACGGCCACCCTACCTTCACCGGCTGTCACCCTTCCTTCACCCCCCCGCCGCTCTTTCATCCCTCGCACTCCTATCTCCACGCCTATCTCTGTCCGCTGTCGCGTGCAAAACTCTTCCCTCCTTCCCGGTTAATCATCATTCTCTCTCTCTCTCTCTCTCTCTCTCTTTCTCCCTCCGTCTCCTTCCACCTTTCAGTTTTTTCCCTCCGCTCGACCACCCACGTGCCCGTTGTTGCCCGCGAGGGTGAGACAACGCTCGGGTAATAACCGGCACACGCGCTTCCCAGGAAGCGAACTGGTTTATTTTCGATTTTTCTCTCGACGCGAGTAGACGCCCGCTGAAACTTCGGCGGGGCATGAGTCATAGTCTCCTCTCTCTCCCCCCAAAAATGGGGGAGCGTTTTGTTTCGCAGCTCGTGCAATTGTTTGTAGAAAGGTGATCTCGGGGGTGAGCCCCGATAACCCGGGCGACACAAGAGCGATTCCGAGAAGTTCTGTAAATATTGAACATTATAATAAATACCAAACGTCATGGTAATTAGTTGTCCCCGAGTTACCGACGCATTTCCGTCCTACGTGATTCCAAACTCCTCTATTTTAACATACGTACAGTAAATTTTATAATAAAACGTTGAAGGTAATCGATTAAAACGGAAAGGGGACAAAGTCATATACAGATTTGAGAAATATGTACTAGCTTTTATAAGCTTCTGTAAGCAATATGAATTTTTCAACAGGTTTCACAATAATTTACACCGAAGAGAGAAGACCTTAAAGTTTTCACTAAAGAAATTATTTTTAACAGATGCGCCTCTATGCGGAGCAAGGAACCATTGCTAATTTAATTTCGGCCAAAGCGTCGCATGTCCCTTTTCGTCCTCCGGTTCGACTGTTCGCATCACCAGGGGGTCAATTCTGTATCTTACACTATTAAAGTGAAAATGCCAAAAGTGAGTAGCTTTCTCTCTCTCTCTCTCTCTCTCTCTCTCTCTCTCATCTCCCAAAAAGGGACAAACCCGCTCACTTTTAGCATTTTCACTGTATCGCAAGATGCAGAATTGACCCCCCAGGGATATCAGAGTCATGCGGTAATTTTTTAATCATGTTTTATTTCATAACTTTTTTCAGACATTAAAATCACTCGATTTTAAAAAATGTATAATCCGCCTTAACTTTGCCGCAGTCTTGCATTTATCATACGGATAAACGGCCGTGCGTGCTGGATCATCATCGAAATGGTCGTTTATGTATACATGGGTACTCGGCTGTTATCATCGCCCGATCGAATTGTGAAAGTCGAAACAACAAAGCGAGAGCTTATCGCGGATCTATCGGGGACTGCTCGACATTATACATCGCCCCGGAGAAAACAAGGCGACATTGTTCGTCGCTAGCCTCTCGCGGTAATTTCTGTCTCCGTTCTGGATGTATATTTCATTCGACTTATTTTCGCGAATAAAATCAGCCGCGTGCGACCGGCCGTCGCGCGCTTATAGCGAGTCTATAGAAAGCACTTGTACAAGGTGAATGCTAATGCGTTCCAAGTTCACGTATTCTTGTGGAGGGTGTACCAGATCCGGTACTTCTTTCGATTAATTTAGACTTCGATTTTCCGTCGATGAAACCCCGCTGGAAATAATTCTATATAGTTCTACAAAACTATAAAATATCACTGCCAGAATCTAGGAAATTTAAAGTGTTATAAAAATCAACATGAAAATGCTAGTATCGAAACACTTTTGTTCATTTTTGTAATATTCTAATACAAGTAAGCAGATGTTTTAATTCTTTAAGACTTTGTTGTTTCTCAAATTTTTTTAACTAGTAAAGTTTTGTACGAATTTTTACAAAATTGTACATTTTCATGAAATACTACATGCAATAATTTCTTCATTTGAGAACATTGTAATTTGTGGTACTGTTTCGTAGATATTTTTACTTAGAAATTCTTAGAAAGGCTTAGAATTTCATAGTTATGGCAGCAAAATTGTTTTAGCAAACCATGATTGGCCACGGTAGCGAGAATTTCCTTTTGAGTGCGACGGCGCGAGCCCCCGGGGTCGCTTTAAGCGTGTTTCAAACGTGTTGACGACAGTCCAGGCTAATTCAATTGACTTAATATTGCTATTTAGCTTTTTTAATGCATTACGTACAATTAATAAAAATCAGACAGCGTTAAGTTGCATTTGATAAAGCTGGACATTGAGAACATTTTTAATTCCGTGTATTTATACAGTATTGCCAATGAGACATACCTTTATCTTGTGCTTATTTATTCATTGACGCGTCTCTAGCGTTCGTAACTCGAAAACTGAGAGCTATCGCTTTTCCCCCGGTGTTCTCCTACCTCGAAATTTAAATGTTTAATTAATTAATCGCAAGCGATTGTTGGATGCCAATATTATCGGAATCGTGCCCGTCACTCGTCAAGCTACCGATTATTAATATTAAGTATTTCAAATCATTCTGAGATAATAAATACGCGGGAATAAAGACCATTCGAAATTGATTGAAGAGACATATCGTTCTGTCATCGGTTTTCGTGCCTGGTCCAGTGGCTTTTATTTTGCCGCCGGCAAGCGCGTATCAAAAATTACAGACGCTCTGACATTTTCGCGGAGGAGAAATTGACTCGAGGGAATTCGGTCGGCGAAAAAAGTCCGCGGTGCAAAACGCGCGAGTTTAAAACTGGAATTTCGGTCAAGACCGTGTACGAGCACGCGTTCTTCTTTTTTTATTCCACCCGAAACGCGAGTTGCCTCCCACAGCCGATTGCTCCACTTACTATGTTTGACCGAAGCCGCGCGATTATTACTGATCACCGACAGCCGTGAGACGGTTAACTTAGGTACGCTTTATCGTAATCTGCAAATTGGCGCGCCTATGTCTCACCCTCAATTGGCAGGCGGCACGAGAGCACCCGATGGATCGAAATGACTTGAAAAGAAACGGGAAATTATACAAATACGACAAGTTAAACGCGCCACTGCTTCTCGCAGGCATCTCTGTGACGCGACAATATCGTCGCTCCATTTCCAACAGCCTGAATTTCACGAGGGCATATCGCTGCTATTTTCGTCGGCGGTCTATAATTGCAGTCCGATGAATGTGTAAACGCGGCGGTTTCACATTCATTCCGCGAATATCAACCCGATGGTATAAAGGAAAATTCAACTATCCCGGCTATTCTAGCTTCTATCGATGTCTTATTAAAAGTTTGCCGTGTCGTGTATATTTTTTATTGGAATAAGAGACCTGAAGCGATGTCATATTTGACCGAGACTGCGGAATAAGGAATATATGTATATGCTTTTCTACTGGAATTTAAACAAAGAATACATATTTGTGTGTGCATGTGCACGTTCCCGAAGTTTTACAATGATTTTTAGATAATCGGGCCTTATCAGTCCGATTAAGATCATACGATAAAATTATCGGCGTACTATTGCGCGAGTGCCCGGTTTACAATGTTGAAGTTCGGCCACATGTAAAGAATGACCTTCTTTACACTCGTGAAATAATTCATTTCTCGAGCTTAAGGTTGAACAACGATGTTATAACCCGTTAAGAGCCTTCGTCCGACTTCCGCCACGTATACGCTCGGAATAATCATTAGCATTAATGCTCTCGTCATGCGAAAATGCCGCTCGCACTAATGTCCGTCGGTCATATTCTCCGGAATAATTTCCAGACGATGGAAGAGACGGCGAGTGGAGGGAGCGGAAAGTCAACTGAAAATCAGGAGGAGCGAGACGAAAGCGAGGAGGCGAAGAACGATGAAAACTTTAGCGAGAAATGATTGAGAAGATGTCGAATCGATTTGATGTCGATCGACGTCATCAATCATTTCTCATTGGGGACCCGCCATACGTTCGTTCCTGCTCGCTTTGTAATCGAAATTAGGATGACGTTCCATCGCTCTCCTGTTACACTTTAATTTACAAGTAGCTTCGGCTTCATTGTGGAAAGAAACTTACATCCGATAATGCGTTTGCGAATGTCGTCGGGCCGATTGTTAATCTGCATCGTTGACCCATTGCTGTTGCTCATGGTCGCCATAGGTATATCGGTTGGATTGACACGTGATTCAAACCTCGCCACCTAAATAAACAAAGTTCCGTTTCATTAGTTTCTCGTTACTTCATTAGTTTGTTCATTATTTTGTATTTTGATATACTTCGTATCATTAATGTATGCACGTATAACACCGTTCATTATTAATAGAGGAAAGTCCTCTATTACGAGACAGCGGGTTTCCATACATACAGATTTAATCACAATCTTTATTCCCAACGATTACACGATCTAACAATGAATTTTCCACTAAACAGATCTCACTCCAAGGACAATAAATTCACGACGAAACCAACAGATGATTACCTATTAATTTAGTAAAACCCGTGCTATCTCATATTAGTTTATCTCATAACAGAGGACTCTTCTCTATATTTTTTTAGTACATGTAAAGTCCGTGTCGGGCTACGAGTTGAGATGGAGATTGAATTGGAAAATCTGACTCCCCGATCAGAGTAAAATTTGTTAAACTTGAGATTGGTAAACTTTACTCCGATTGGTCAAAATTTCAATCCAATCTCAACCCGTAGTCTGGTCGGGCTTAAAATGTAACGCGCTTCGGTACTTTGATCTTTTATCGCCCTTCATTTCCTTTGCATGTACACTATATACTTAGAATTAATAATTATTGTAAATACTTTCAAGAAATTTCCCATCTGAAAATTTTAATCCTGCATATCAAAGAAGGATCGCGGGGGTGTTGTGGAAATGACACCGCAAGATTGCAATATTGAGCGTATGTCGCTGCAACGTACATTGCAGAAATATTAAAATGTCCGCCTCGAGAGGATCACAGTGTGGCAGCATGACAACATTGTAATTGGCCTTATATAAATAATAATTGTTGCGAATAAGGAATAATATTGCACAACAGGGAGAGCCAGCGTAATCCGTAGAGACCAACAAACACACGCACGTAGCTTTAATTGATCATAACGTTAGATAATATCATCTTGTACAGACACAAAATATCATTATTATGAAAAAAAAGACATCTGGAATTCTCGTTTTATCAAAACAGAGATCTTTCTTGAAACTGTCCCTTTGAAAGTTTTATTTGCACGCTACGCGTATCAAGTGCCGGAATTTTAATACCGAAATACTGTATAATTCGTTTAACATGCATATTTTTTATATATTTTTAAATAAGCCTCGTTTTTTAAGCGTACTTTAATATATAATGTTAATACTGTCCTCGTGTAGCAAAGAAATCTTATGCCTTCCGTTATACACTTGAGATAAAAGTCAAAAATTTTACGAAAAAACTTCTACGTTCTCCGTTTCGTAATAATTTGCCAAATTTGATACTTCATTGACAAATGCTCTAATTTTGCTAAACAATTTACATGAAAATACCTGACGAATGAAAAAAAATCGTAGAAAATTTCGCCAAGATTCGAACAATTAATTCTGAGAAATCAAACGCATCTTGGAAATATGTTCTGTCTCTTTTTTTTTAGATAAGAACTTCACTTGCTATCTTTCTTTTATCATCACATTTATCGTATGACGTAAACGCGAAACGTAATATTATATTCCTATCTATATCCCATCATATCGTATTGCAATGAGTTGACACGTCACATGTTAAATTCGCTATTACTTTTGAAAAAGAGTATTCAATAACAGAATTTCTTTCCAAATCCGTTAAATGCCGCCACAACATTGTTGCACTATTGTAAATATATTACGTCCAAATGTTACATTCACTTTTGTAAAAATATGCACGGAGGAGAGTGACGGGATTTTTCCCCAAATCAACCCGTTAAAGTGTCACCACTGCGTTTACAATATTATCGCATCGTTGTAAATATGTTACGTCCAAATGTTACATTCACTTTTGTAAAAACCTGCACGGAGGAGAATGACGGATTTTTTCCCAAATCAACCCGTTAAAGTGCCATC